TCTGAATCAGGAGCAGACAGGTTCAAACCCCCTCACATGCAGACGTGTAGTTTCTAAACAGCGTCTGTCTTCTTGGTTACAGGAGCTGCCGAAGTACCTGAGGGGCTACCACAAGTGTTCAAGGGACGAGGTCCACCAGCTGGGGGCGCTAATCTACAGGGTGAAGTTTGAGGAGGATAAATCTCAGTTCCACAATATGGCCAAGATCCTGAAGGAGCTCGTCCCTCAGGACCAGATCAGACATCTCTCCGCCGACGACTGGAAGAGGGTGAGCTCACATCAGGGCAGCAAATAAAGAAAAAACTAATCAAGGAGTCATGGTTGAACGAGCAGGAGGGACAGCACTCACACACACATATAGAAAATCTACATGAAGTTTCTGAAAGTATTCAGGGGCGGCAGCAGCTCAGTCTGTAGGGGACTCGGGTTGGGAACCAGAGGGGCGGACCAAAATATAAGAGTTTGTCTGGTTACTGCAGAGATGCCGGCGCACTTCCTGAGCATTGCCGATGTGCTCTTGAGCAAGTAGCAGCGCTCCCTTCATGTCCACCATGTCCTGTTTGTGCATGTGTGTATTTCAGGCCAGTGTGTGTGAGAAGCATGTCTCTGAATTACAGCGTTGTAGAGAGACTTGATGAATATTAAACACATTTTAAATTTAAAGATTTGACCCTTTTTGTCTCCTGTTTGTCTCTTTCAGTCCATCATGCTGCTCTTCAACAAGCACTCAGGAAAATCTCGTGAAGAAGCCAAACTGGCCTTCCTCAAAGTCATCTACAAGTGGCCCACGTTTGGTTCTGCCTTCTTTGAAATCAAGGTAACCACACAGGAGTGAAAAGTCAAATATCCACTGAGTGTAACGTCTCGGGTAAAGTCCATTTTGAAAACAAAAAAAAAAAGTAAAAATTGTTTGTTCTTTTTTTTTTTTCTTTCTGCAGCAATCAACGGATCCAAATTACCCAGAAACCCTCTTGATAGCGATCAACAAACATGGAGTCAGTTTGATTGATCCCAAATCTAAAGTGAGTTCACAGTTTTTTAACGTTATGTTGGTTTCCTCGTCTGTAAGTGTGTGTGTGTGTGTGTGTGTGTGTGTGTGTGTGTGTGTGTGTCTCGAGTACCTTCTTTCTCACCTCACTCGTTGTGTTTCCTGCAGGACATCCTCACCACTCACCCCTTCACAAAGATCTCCAACTGGAGCAGCGGGAACACGTACTTCCACATCACCATTGGAAACCTGGTCCGAGGCAGCAAGCTGCTGTGTGAGACCTCGCTGGTGAGACTCTTCAACATGCAGCGACAGCTTAGACGCACGACCCCGATCACAACAACAACAAAACACATTTAAAAAATTGCAGCATTTCTGTTTGAAAGGAAAAGTTTGAGATTTGAAATATGCTGCTCATAAATTTGAATCAGCGGGCTGCATGTCGGTGCAGTGGTTAGCCCTGTTGGCTCACAGAGAGGAGGGTTCCTGGTTCAAACCCTGGTTGGACAGGAGTGTGTGGAGTTTCTGTAACCATTGAGTGCAACCACCAGGAAACATTACACTGTTACCCTTTATTTAAAGGCTTTATATGTGATTTTTTGATCCAGCAGATGTCGCCCTTGAGCACCAGCATGAAACCAAAACAACTCTTGCTGCATTGTTGTGTTAGCATGCTAATGCTACTTTATTATGCTGGTATCGTCACACTGCATGTAAATTTACCTGAAATGAGCGTGATCTAGAAACACAGTTAAGCAGTGAGTACAGTATGTTATTCTTCTTTTCTCTAGTCCCTCAATTAAACAACTTTTATACACGAGGGGAGGAGTCAGCCGGCCGTCCTGGCGATGTAAACAAAGTGAAGATAGGACTCTGAAAACTCTGAAAACATCACAGACAGTGGGACTCGGGTGTTACACCCATTGTAGACAGTCATGACTCACAGAGTTATTTTCAGAGGATACACTTGATTTCTACATTTAAGTGTGAAAAATCACATAGAAAGACTTTAAATAAAAATCTAAATCTAAGTAGGGACTTGGGACTTGTGAGCCAGAGGGTCGCTGGTAGCTGGAGAGGTTCCCTTGAGCAAGGCACTGAACCCCCACCCATCAGCTCAGGAGCGCTCGCTGTGGTCAGCCCCCTCGCTCTGACAGCTCTACATTAGTGCACGTCCACAGGATCCTGTTTGTGCATGTGTGTGTGTGTGTGTGTGTGTGTGTGTGTGTGTGTGTGTGTGTGTGTGTGTGTGTGTGTGTGTGTGTGTGTGTGTTTCAGCCCGTGTGTGTGTGTGTGTGTGTGTGTGTGTGTGTGTGTGTGTGTGTGTGTGTGTGTGTGTGTGTGTGTGTGTGTGTGTGTGTGTGTGTGTGTGTGTGTGTGGAGCATGTTCAACAACAGAGTATAATTGAATTTCTCCTTGCCGATAATTAATCTTCTTCATCTTAAAATGCATTATAAATCAATAAGACATTCACTAAGGGATGTCTGATGTGTTTGTTTTTACCCCTCAGGGCTACAAAATGGACGACCTCCTGACCTCTTACATCAGCCAGATGCTGACGACCATGACCAAACAGAGGTCGTCCCGAGGCAACAGCAAGTGAGCGGAGCGACTGGAAACTCATCGATCACGGCCAATCAATCAAAAACCTTTCATTGAGTCCGACACGCACACAGTGCAGAGTGAAAACATGGGAACAAACTGTTTCTTTAAAATGATCCCACCAGAGGTCGTGGAGGCGTTTTCTGTGACGCTGTGACACCGCTACGTTTGCATTCACGTTCATATTTATTGGCTCTGTCTTAAAAAAACTCACCTAATTTGCCTTGAAATTCTCTTTTCCAACCAAACGGCAATTTGGATATATTTGTATGACTGTTTGAATCTGTGTTAGAGGCTAGTCAGGGAGCTTTATCCGTTTATGAACGGGGCCGGTTGAGTGTCGTTAAACAAGCTTTCAGTGTAAATATTTTTAGACAGAATTGAACGCTAAAGTGACCCGTTTCACGCCTGGTGTCAAAGTGTGTTGAGGTGATTTGAGTACAACGAGACAGACGACAAGCACAGTCACACATAGACAATCACCTCTGTTAAAAACCTTAAATTATCCCATCCTCATATTTATTTGTCAGTGAAGTGGAGCTCCATTGACTGACTTAAAAAGGCGGCTTATTCCTATAAGCTCCAGTAAGGCTGAACTCATGAGGTTGACCTGTGCATGTAAAAGTTGTGCAGAAGACAAACGGGCTCCGTGCGCTGATTGTATGCAGGTCAAAATGTTGCTCTCAAATAAAGCAACACCTGCGAGCTAGTTCAGCCAGACAACTCGGGCGTCATTATCCACAATCACCTGACAAACACATCCTTCAAATTGGTGGTTGATTTCAGCTGCAACATCTCCCTCTGTTCTCTTACTGCCCCCTCTGACCTGCAGCCACACCACCATGACATCATCCACCTGCAGGCTCCGATTAGAGGGTTTAAAATATTAAAGCATCACTCCTCAAATTTCTGCGCGTAAAATAAATCTGCACGGAGTGATGAGGTCACTGACGCCAAACACAGACAACATACATGTTCTGCTGCTGCAATAAAAAACACATAGTACAAACGTGCATGGTTAGTAATGCAATATATCTGGGGGTGCTAGTTTAGCTCAGACAGTAGAGCGGGCGCCCAAGTCTTTGACCCCCTGGCCTCGGCCCTCTGATGCATGTTACTCTACCCTGCTCTCTCCTCCCAACATTTCCTGTTTCTCCTCAGCAGTCTTTACAGGAAAAGGATGAAAGGCCAAAACAGCTTTGAAAGAAAAAAAAACAAAGTGCATTAATGGGATATTAACATTTAGAAACAAAGAAATGTGTGAATGTGAGCAGAGAGAAAACCAGAAATCAAAACAAACGTGCTGCAACAATTAATGTTTCTAGTCTTCTGACTTCTGACTTCTCACTTTTACATCAGTATTAACTCATCCATTCATCCACACAGAGCAGCAGGAGAAACTTGGGGTTAAGTGTCTTGCTCAAAGACACATCAGACATGTGGCTGCAGATGCTGGGGATCAAACCCCCGACCTTCTGGTTGGCCACAGTCGCCCCGACATTCTCTCTCTCTCTTTTTTTAAATTTCATCCCTGAGAAGAAAAGTTCAGCAGTCCATCAAAAACATTTCAAACTCCCCGACCCGGACGTGTTCCTTTGTGTTCGTCTTGTGCGTAGCTTCATTTTACAAACTTATTTATTCTAATAGTTTCAGGTTTAACAGACTTCATCACACTTCTATTTTTAAATGTGTTTTAGATCACGTCTCTTAAAAAAAAAAAAAAAAACTCCCCGTGCTGTGAACTGTTGCAGATTTAAACGTATTTAAATGAAACCTGGTGATTTTTTTTTTTTTATGGCGTCGTTGGTCGTGCATGTGTGCGAGGAAACGGACTGAACGTGTGCCACAGAGTTCAAACATCACGTCTTTGTATGTGTCGATCCATCGTAGATTAAAGAACAACGTAAACACAGTCCTTAGACGTAGACGGATTCTGTGCTCACTTGTGTATTTTTTTTTCTTTTCTAAATGTATAAACCGTTAGTGTTGATTTTTAAAGCATCGAGTCTGAATCAGTTTTCTGTTTATATGAAGGAGGAAAGCTGTCATCCATGTTGTGACCACATTTACAAATGTAGACATGAATAAATGACATTTTGCAAAAAGGAACGGAGAGGTTTATTTCTCTAAGACAGGCGCCGCTCTACGGTGGTTTTAGATTTTATTAAGAAAGAAGCAAGAAGACGATGCTGAGCTTTCAAACATCAGCATGAGCGAGTGTTTGAAAATCTACTTTGAAATAATTCACCTAAAAAAAAAAAATGTGTTTCTGAAATTTAAAGTGAGATATAAACGCGGTAATGAGATTGTCTTCTCACTCTGCAGAACAGAAAACAACCACCATTTCTAACTTTCTGTTCTCCAACCCTGACGATGGTGTGATGAAAGCAGCGACTCGCTCGGAGAAGAATTGTTTGCATCACTTTAATTAAAACAAAGTGCACTTGACAAAGTACTCTGCTGAGATCTTACAGGTTTGGCAGTTTCAGGCTCTGTGTGTTTTCAGCTCGGCAGACGTCAGTGCTCGGACACGGTCGCCAGGTTGGGCGTCCTCTCTGCCTGAGAGTGAGTGCTGGAAACCGACCAGATATCGCTCAACTCTGTGAACGGAGACAGAAAAAAAATGCAGTTTTCAGTCTAATAATTCAACTTTTCACATGTGCACAAAAACTCAAATTTCCCCAGATTTTCAGGGTGAGCTGCAGAAGCTGAATTCTTAACCCCGACTACATCTTTACTTTTTGCAACCAGACCCCTAATTACATTTCTGCAAGTCAGGGTGAGCCGATGTGTGAACCCAGCAGGAAACATTCAGCGTGAGCATGAGGGAGGGGGTGATTATCTGAGTATTTTTAGGTTAAAATATATTTTATCTTCCTGTTAAACTTCACAAATGTCTGATTACTCATCCTGCACTCAGGGGCGTTTAAACAAATTTCAATGAATTAAAAAGCTCTGTTGAAGGTAACAGTCCAATCAAATTCATCCCAACGCTATGTCCCGCCTTCTGTCTTGTGATTGGTTAACACTAAAAAACAATACATGTTTTCTCAATGATCAACATCTTTCATTCTGCCCTTCAGTTCATCTTTTCACAATATCTCACCCGTTTTGAATTTGCTGTACGTCCCGTTGTCCGGTGTGATTTTGCCGCCCGTGCAGAACGCCAGACCTCGCTCTCTCCACCTGACGAGCAAACGACACGTGACCCGTTTAGCCCACCTTCCACAGAATTCAGACATGAAGACACTCCTTCATATTAAAACGATGTGTGAGCGATTTACCAGTGAAAGAAGAAGATGACGAGGATCAACACGAGGGACGCCACATCAGTGAGAATCCACATCAGGTTATACTCATCTGGACTCTGAGAGAGGGACAGAGGGTGAAACAAAGAGATTGATTCAATGAAGGAGGTGTGTCTGAAGGCAGAATTAGCAGATTAACAAGGAAACAGCGAAACTTTTGGTAAATATTATATGGAAAAAAGTGGATAAACGACACCACAGGAAGGGGGAAGAGAGGGATTTGGAGTGACTATAATGAATGAATTAATATTTTAATACATCTAGACTCCATGGACTATAAGTGTATGATTTATTGAACAGCAGCATTTACATTAACAAAGCTATTAGACATTTAAGGCCACACTCATGACCTTTGACTTCTAGAAAAGGAGATTTAAAAAAAAAAGTAAAATCTTGTCGAGTAGTTTAGCTGTTACCATGACGAGCAGTGGTGACCTCATGGATGTGAGGATCTGAGGAGCGTTGGTGGTGACAGACTGGACTCCAGAGCACCAGGCCAGAGAGAAGAGCCACGGCTGACTGATCACATACAGGTTGGTGCTGATGTTCACTGCAGCGTACTCTCTGCACACACACACACACACACACACACACACACACACACACACACACACACACACAGTGTTACAGCTTTACACGTTTAACACATGAACTCACACACACACACACACTCACACACACTCAGTGGTACCTGACGAGCTGAGCAGACATGGCGCTGTAGTGCAGATTGAGTTTCATGATGTTGTTACTCTGCAGCTCCTCTAGAGGGAGCCGGCTGCCAGACGTCTGCTGGAGCTCAGGATCCATCTCCTGGACCAGAGCGCGCAGGTCTGAGGGCAGCCACAGCACCTGGTGGACGAGGGGAGGGACGGAGGATAAGGAGTCTGAGCTTATGGATCGTTTCACTGCAACGCTGCTTTGATTTAATTACATGACAATAATCTGGATTTATCTTTATTAACTCTTGTTACTAAATGTTTCACACACATTTGAAACATGTAAGCCAACAAGACATGCAATCAAGAAAACAAAGCAAAGAACAAAAAAAGTGAAATCAAGATAATAAATGAAGATAAATTCTGGTAAATTGAAGTATATTTCAAGAGGAGATTTGAAGGCAGGGTTGGTCATTTTCAAAAACTAGCATGAGTTTAAAAGTAGCATTCCCTCAGTGCTCCGTCTGCACCTCCTCCCCTCTGTGCTCCCTCTAAAGCCACGCCCCCTCACTTACATGCACGAGCACCGTCTCTCCAGAAGTGGACCTCAGCTCATCTCTGTCATTGTGTAGAAACTACGTCGTCTCATGTCTCATTCAGCGGTCAGTAAACTCTCAGTATAAACTCCTAAAGTCATCAGTGACGAGCTTTGAGTGTAGAGAGTGAGCAGGGAGACAGGGAGGCGTCTGATTGGTTCATCAGATTGGTACCTCGTGGCAGACATTGGTTGAAGTTTTTACAGACTTACAAACTGATACAGATGATGGATTTTCTTTGTTCCTTTTTTAGAGAACATGAGTTATTAATCTCTGTCAGGACCTAAAGACAATTTACACCAAAATCTTTAAAAAGTGGATCTGGAGGAAATCACCAACCCTGCCTTTAAGAGTGATCACTTTGCGTAATGTAGCCGAGTGAACTTACTCAAATCTACTGAAATAATAATTGGCTGTATTTGTATTTTGTGCCATAATTAGATTATGTGTGAATTCAAATGTCAAAACTTTTAGAACTATGAGTTGAGCAAATTATTAGTTTAACAAAAAAGATCTGAGATT